GACAACTCAAAATAAATGTTAGTCAATGCAGGAGAGGTGATGAGGAGTTTGAACTTCTGTAGCTTGCCAAACTTCTCTTCACTTTCTGTAAACTGCACAAAGGATTCATTCAACATAGTTCAAAGGCTAAAAGTGAAAGTGACTCAGACTATTTTCTAAAAGTTAAGAAAGTGCAGTTGCACTATTTACGAAGTCCTCTGAAACCTTTGCCTGTGGACATCACCACTAAATATAGTTCTAGAGCTGTAACTTGAAGCCACAGTGATTTTACTGTTCCTCTGTTTAAGTGTTCAGATTCCACTCCGTGAAACAGGTTCACAAGACAGCAGTCTTTGAAATGCATTAGGACTAGAACTTGGCTGTACAATGCATGCGGGGCACAGCCCCATGCTGGAAGGCTGCCTTGCTCCTGACCTGGGGCAGAGCACTCCAGCATCTCTGTGACTGGGGAGGTAGTCAGGCAGTCACGTGAAAACAAACAGGGTAAAGAGAACATGGGCTGCTTCTCTCAGGGCAATTCACCCACCCTGCCCTCAAAACTGGTACTATAAACATGGTCCTCAGGCATGATCATTTTTCTTAAAATATCAGAAGAATTCTGCTTAAACTATGGATTACCCCAAGGGCCAAGGTAGTAATTAACCAGAGTCACCTTAGGTGGTTACTTTCTGTGCCTCTTATGACACAGGCCAAAGTGAACAGCATTTGCACTGATTTAGTTCACATGAACTCGGCCTGCAGTAGAGATGAAGGTGCGTCCTTCTGTAGGAGTTCAGGGCCAGACTGGCCAAGTTAGCAGAGCTGTCCTCTGCAGCCCCCCTGCATTCCCACTGTCCTGGGAGAGACTCTGCAGTATTCCCTGTTGACTACGTCCTCATCTCTGTGTCTGGACAAATGCAGAGTGGCCAGCATACAAGTGCGTAACAGTGGAGCCCACATGGCTTCCTCCAGCCAATGTCAGCCTCAAAGGTCCCAATGCCTTGCTATGGTTTACTGGAAATGAGGCCTCCATAGACTTCTCATTCCAGGCTTCTGAACAGGCGCCTGAACTGGACATGGTCTGAGACCTACCTGCCCATCCCAACAGGTCTCTTCTGAAACATGAAACAAATAAAACATCCAGAGAAGATGGCTTGGCTGATTAAAAAGCACTTGGTGTGGACACATCCAGTATCTGTCTTAGCCATGATCACGAACAACTACTGGACCCTTTACAAATGAAGAAAACAGGCTCCAGACTGAGATGCTTTGTCCAAGGTCTCACCACTGGCTTCAGAAGAGGGGAAACTTGTCCAAAGAACTCCTGTGCCTTCCGGAGACTGTGGCCACCTGAAATGGATGTTGAGAATGGAGTACAATACTATGTCTGAGCCTGGGTGCTCCTGAGCCAAACCTGCTTCCTTGTAGATGGGCATGGCTACTGAACCACGAGTCCTCAAACTCACGCTCAGGGAATGGTTTTAGGAGACATGATGCAGCTCCCCTCTGCTGAAATGGTTTTGTCTGCTCTGGAGTGTCGCTCTGGATACAGAATGCCTCGTCTCAATGTCTTCAACTATCAATTGACAAGCCCATTTCCTAAGGTTTTTGATTGCTTGGATTAGAATGTGCAGGTGAAGTGCCCAGTTAGGGGAGACAAAATGAGGGTCACTGTAACCATCCTACTGTCTACCACTGTTCTCAGATCATTCACTATATACACTTCCAGTATCTTTTCAGGTCACGAGAAAATTGTTGGATCCATCAAGGCAAAGGCTGACATATTCACGTGTCAGCAGCCTGTGGTTGTGTTGCTGGGCTGTTTTCAGAGTGAAGACCGACAACAGGTCAATGGCTCCAGGTTCACCTCTCCTACTGCACTACTCACTGCTATCAGGCCATGCTCCAGCCTCCTGCTCTGGGCCCAGAAAATTCAGTGCCTCTTCTCCTTGGATGCTGTGCACAGTAAACCTAATAGCCACGGAAGCACCTGTAGGCATTTAGGGCTTCATACATGGTAACCCTTATCATCATAATACCCACCCCTAATTCTCTCATCTTATTCACATTAGTGTCTTCAGTGATTTTGTCAAAGTGTTTCCTTGAAACATAGCATACTCCATAATGCTGTGTTTTTTGTTCTTTAAAAGGTGATCGAGACACTGGTGGCTAAGTGCACTCTGCTGCCCCCAGGGAACTGTAAGCTCATTGAGGAAAGTCCAGCTTCCTACCTGCCTCCTCTATGCTGGCTCTGCATGGCCAAGTGTCATGAGGGCTGGCCCTGCCACATCAGGGGTGCTCCTGTCAGGCACCCAGCTCTTCCACCTGCCCTGAGGAATAGCCTGAAGTGCAAATGCTGTGCACCATGTAGTTTGAGGATTAGAAGCTATGCCTTTCAGGGATAGCTGAATTCTGGCAGATTCCCACAACCGGACTATGAAAATCCAACAGGAGGCATTTGAAATGGCAGGTTTCGAGGGCATGAAAACTATAGGTATTTTGAGCCCAGGGTTTAGTTCCCCTAACCCCTAGTCACAATCTATAGCTTATTTCACCTATACAGTTGTTATTTAAGAAAATAATTTCTATTGCTGTTTTGATAAATGCTGTCATACACATCAGTTACAATTTAACTAGGTAGGTAGACAAATAAGAATGGCATGGTTAATTAAAAATGTTGGCCTGCCAGGAATTATGGGCCCCAATGAAAGTAATGCGAAGCCTATCACCAGAAGAGGGAAGTAAGGTACAGCAAGGAAAAGTGTCAATGGCCAGCCACTATGAGTCCCTATGAAAAATCAGCATTTCCCACTGTGTGGCTCCCATGAAGTAACACCCACCACTCAAGTCCATGTACAAAGCACTCTTCTAAGTATTGTCAGAAAAATATTGTAACACATTTTAACAAGCCAATTTTTTAACAGCTTGAAAAAGGGAGGAAAGGACTAAATTGACAGGAAAATCAGGTCATTTCTTATTGAAAACAACACAAACTTGAAATGACCCTTTAAATCAAAGAAATGAGTCACAGGAAATCTGAGCCTTCCTTATTTTTGCATAAATACAACTGTTCTGTCTCAGAACTTGTATAAGTTAAAGATCTCTATTTTCTTTCAGAGATAGATGTGATAAACTAACCAGTGTTAAATTATTTCACGACCAGTAGGTCTCATGTTCTGAGAATGGGCACTGTTTTTTCTGACCTGCAACTTGCTTGGTTTGTCCTCCCTGCTCTGAGTTTTCCTGAACTTAATCTCAACACACGGATATATCCCCTGCGTTTCCAGCCAGCATCAGCCTGATGCAGTTCTGTGGTTTCAGTGTTAGGACGCACTCACCAGTCACCCATGCAGGTGCCCACCCGGCCCGGCCCTGCCCTGCCCTTCCCCAGGAGCAGGAGAGCCATCCCAACCTCACACCTACTTGCTGGACCTGGACCCCAGCAAGCCCACACCACTGAAGAGAAATCCACAGGAAAGGCGGACCACACACACACTTCTCTTGCTGTGATTTGTGTCTAGCATTTGAAGTCGCTGCAGGACGATGTCTCTGCTTTCAGATACACTCCACTGACTTAAACAGAACATGTACTTGATCAGCATCAGACTGACTCCAAGTTAAGAGAAACAAGCCATTCAGCACACGCCTAATATTTTTTCCTCATTATCATAATTATTTCTACTCAGTTAAAATGGAACTGGCATTTAAACATCTCACAAACCAAAATGGTCCTGATACCTTTAAAGAACTATGAAAAGGACCAACACTTTGCTATTATCCTGCATGAAATGTATGGGGCAAGTTTATCAGAAAACAAAGTGCACGCACCACAAGATAAAATCACTGGAGAGCCAAATGTGAATTTTAATAGCTCCTTCCATATGATGTGATCATCGCCAACCTGTACAACATCAGCAGGGAAGGTGAGCACACACAGTGAGGATGGCCTGCCAGCAGTGGGACATCAGCTGATGGCAAGTCCATGTCTGCCCTTTTCAAGGTTTTGAGAGTTGTTTCCCAAATTAAAAAATAAGTTTCAGTGATTTTAAAAATTTGAAGTGTATATGCTTACCAAGAGCAAGGAAGAAAGGGTGCTGAATGTGGAAATGCTGAGAGCAGGCAGTCACAAATGTGCCTTCACTGGAAGGAGGCACAGCTATATTGTTTGGGGACGCTGGGGCACCTGGGCCTCAAATGAGGCATGGATCCCATAATGTAGGGCTTCTCCAGTGCTGCTGGACTCAGCCCCGCAGTCAGAAGGCAGCCTGGTTTGATAAACCGAATACAAAATAAAGGTAGCTTAAATTTGTTTAGAACGGTGATGTCTTCCTACTTTTTCACACTCAATTCTGCAGTTTATGTTCTCCACATGCTTCACATCTGTCCCTGCCCCTGGCCTAGACAAGGCTATACCTATGCTGACCGGCCTGGGCTCCTCTTACCTGGTCACTTTGCCTTGCCAGGGGTGGAAAGACACGGTGTCTGTTAGAAGAGGGAGAAAAGGATGTGGAATCAGGTGCAAGTAATAGGGACAGGGGCAGAAGGCAGGCTCCACCTCACCTTTAATCCACGACTCTAAACTACTTCCAGGGGCCAACCCTGGCTGTAATTTTCTTTTTTGGTTAGGCCAGGGAGCCAGGCCAGACGCTGGAAGGGCTGAGCAGAACCACAGCTTGAGGCCTGCAGTGAGCCCCCCAAGGCCTTTGGCCCCAGCCTCTAACTGGGTTAATTCTCCAACGACTACAGTGTACATACAACTAAGACAGACTACGTAAAGAGTTCACCTGACACAAAGAACCAGTGCGGAAAGGTGGTTTCTTCTAAAATCCAACACACAATGTTTTATTAAATTCAAAAAGAATGGGTAAGAGAAAAATTCCCAAGTTTTCTTTTCACTAATTTTTATTTAGATTTGGTAAATTTCACTCAATATCTATCAATGCCTTTGTCAATCTGAGATGTATGTGTGTGTGCATGTCTGTAAAACTCCCTTAGAAACTTTATCTGGTATAACTTCACAGTTTTGGTATATAGAAATCATTTTATTTTCATATTGTAGCACAGTAGACATACAATCAACATTATTTCCTAGAGTGTGCAATATATAAATTATTCACATTAAAAAATTAAGAACAGAAAGCTTCATATGCAGGAAATATTTTAAAATGCCTACCTACTTTGGAATCTGTGCTTTGACAGTAACACACCACTAGCTTTATAAATCTGAATGAATATGATGTGTACACAGTGGAACAAAACACACAAATGGGCCAACTCCAGATGCTTAACTCACTGTATGGCTAACTCACTTCTCATTTTGCCGTTGGGATTCCAGGTGCTGAGGCCTTCGTGGATCTGAAAGATACTCCCAGAAGTACATTTGTTACACTGGCATTTGAAAGACTGCTGTTTCTTCTACTCTCCTTTATAGCGAGGGGATCTTTTCTCCTTAAAAGCCAGAAGACCTTCGAGTCTGTCTTTCGTTGGAATGGTCTAAGAGAAACATTGGTATGTATACCAAAAAATAAAAACTGTAAAAATTTAACAAGCTTTATCTAAGAAACTAATTAGAACACAATCTAAAATTCTGAACTCTACTACTCATTTGTACAATTCTAATTAGGCGACCAAATTTATTATTCTAACTCCAAATATGCTTTCCCCCATTTCAAATATACTTTAAAAAAAAATGATAGGTTTTATTTTTTAGACAATTTTAGATTCTCAAAAGAATTGAGCAAAAATTCCGAAGTCCCATAGACTCCCCCAAAACCCCAAACCACTTCCCCTAATATTATCACCTTGCATGACTGTGGCACATGGGTTTCAAGGACCAGTATCAATATATCATCATTAACTAATGTCGAGTTTACATTAGGGTTCACTGTGTTACACATTTCATCGACTTGGACAAATGTAAGTCATGTATCCACCATTACAGTCATTGACAATAGTTACCTCACTTTAAACAACCCTTATCTTCCTTACCTATTCATCCCTAAGCACCCTCCCCATTAACTCTTCCAGAATGTCATACAGTTGAAAATCATATAGTATGTAGCCTTTTTAGATTGAAATCCTTCACCAAGCAATATGCATTTAAAGTCCTTTCATGTCTTTGTGGCAGAATAACTTATTTCCTTTTATTGTGGAATAATATGCCATTGTCTGGATGTACCACAATTTATCCAGTCACTTACTGCAGGACATCTGGGCTACTTCCAAATTTGGCAATTATGAATAAAGCTGCTATGAACACAAGTGTGCAGGCTTTTGTGTGGACATTAGTCTTCAACTCATCTGGGTAAATACATAATAGCACGATTGCTGGATCATGGAGTTAAGACGATGTTTATCTTTGTAAGAAATGGCCTAATTGTGGCTGGTTTTTATCTGCGTTTCTTAATGACATATGATGTGGAGCATCTTTCCCAATGATTACTTGCTATCTGTATATCTACTTTGGTATGGTATCTGTCTAGATCTCTTACCCACTTTTTTTAATAAGACTGCTTATTTTTTAATTTAATCTTTATTTTTTTACATTACCTTTTGGTTCACTTATACCTCCCTCACCCCAGCAACCACCACCCTATCGTCCATGTCCATGAGTCCTTTTTCCTTTTTGCTCAATCCTTTCAATCCCCCACCCCCACTAGCTGTCATCCTGCTCTCCATCTGTGAGTCTGTCTCCATTTTCCTTGTTAGTTCAGTTTGTTCACTAGATTCCACATGAGTGAAATCTCATAGTATCTGTCTTTCTCTGACTGGCTTATTTCACTTAGCATAATGTTCTCCAGGTCCATCCATACTGCCACAAAGGGCAAAATTGTCTTCTTTTTAACAGCCGAGTAGTATTCCATTGTATAATCGTCCCATAGTTGTTTTATCCACTCATCTATTGATGTGCACTGGGTTATTTCCATTTCTTGGCTTTATTTATTTTTTAGAGAGAAGGGAAAGGAGGGAGAATGAGAAAGAAACACCAATGTGCATCAATGTGCAAGAGAAACATTGATTGGCTGCCTTTCATACACCCCTAACCAGAGGCCTGGCTTGCAAACCAGCCATGTGCTGACTGGGAATAGAACCAGGGACCTTTTGGATCACAGGCCATTGCTCAGCCCTCTGAGCCACACCAGCCAAGGCTCTTACCCACTTTTTAATGGGCTGTTTATTTTCTTATTGTTGACTTCTAAGTTCTTTGTATGTTTTAGATACAAGTCCTCTGTCAGATTTGTGTTTTGCAAAGACTATTCCCCAGTCTGTGGCTTGTCTTTTTATTTGCTTTGCAATGTCTTTTTGCAAAGTAGACATTCATTTTAATAAAGTCAAACATCATTTTCTTCTTTCACAGATTATAATTCTGGTGGCTGTCTAAAAAGTCATTGCCAAATCCAAGGTCACCTAGATCTTCTGTTATCTTCAAGAAGTTCTATAGTTTTTCATTTTACATTTAGGTCCATGACCCATTCATTTTGAGTTAATTTTTGTGAAGGGTATAAGGTGTCCAGTTTCATTTTTTTGTAGCTGAATGTCCAGATATCTTAGTACTACTTGTTTTCAAGACTATCTTCTCTGTGTTAAATTGCTTTTGCTCATCTGTCAAAGACCAGCTGACTATATTCATATGCGTCTACTGTCAGGCTCCCTGTTTCGGTCCATGTATCTATTTGTCTATTCTTTTGCCAGTACTACATGGTCTTGATTACTATAGCTTTATAGTCTTGAAGCTGGGTAGTGTGAGTCCTCAAACTTTGTTCTTCAATCTTGTGTGGCTAATCCGGGTCTTTGGACTTTCCATATAAACTTTAGAAATGGTTTGCTGTTTTAAAAAAGTAACTTACTAAGGTTTTTATTGGGATTGCACTGAATCATAGATCATGTTGGGAAGAAGTGAAGTGTTAGTAATATTAAATCATACTATCCATAAAAATGGGACACCATTCCGTTTACTTAGATCTTGATTTTTTCACCAGAGATTTGTAGATTTCCTCCTACAGACCTTGCACATATTTTGTTAAATTTATACCTAAGTATCTTATTTTTGTGTGTGCCAATGTAAATGATACTGTGCTTTTAATTTAAAATTCCAATTTTTCATTGGTGGTATACAGGGAAGTAACTGACCTTTGTATATTAACCTCGTGTCACATAATCTTGCTGTAACTGCTTATGAGTTAGTGAGCTTTTTTGGTTGATTCTTTGGGATTTTCTACATAGACAACCGTGTCATCCATGAATAGACAGTTTTATTTCTTCCTTCCCAATTTATACACCTTTTTTTTTTTTTGTCTTATTATATTAGTTAGAACTTCTAGTAGATGCTGAAAAGGAGTGGTAAGAGGGGACATCCTTGTACTGTTCCTGATCACTAAGTATATTAGCTGTAGGTTTTTGGTAGGCATTCTTGTTCAGTTGAGGAAGTTCTCTTCTAATCAGAGTTTGCTGATTCTTTAATCACTAATGGGTGTTGGACTTTGTCAAATGCTTCTTCTGCATCTGTTAATATAATTGGATGATTTTTCCTGCTTAACCTGTTGATGCAGTAATTACAATAACTAATTTTCAAGTGTTGAATAAGCCTTGCACATTTGCAGGAAAAAATCCATTTGGTTGTGGCATATAATTCTTATCATACATTGCTGGATTTGATTTGCTAATACTTTGTTGAGAATTTTTATATCTATGTTCATCAGAAATAAAAGCCTATGGTTTTCATTTCTTGAAATTTCTTTGGTTTTGTTATCAATGCAATACTGGTCTCATAGCATGAGTTTTAGAAAGTGCTCCTTCTGCTTCTATTTTCTGAAAAAGATTGTAGAGAACTGGTATAATTTTTTCCTTAAATGTCTGATAGAATTCTCTAGTGAAAAGCATCTGGGACTGATCCTCCCTACTTCAGAAGGTTATTAATTATTGATTTAACTTCTTTAACAAACATAGGACTATCCAGGTTACTTAATTCTCCTTATGTAAATTTTGATATTTTGTGTCTTTCAAGGAATTGGTCCATTTTATCTAGGTTAACAAATTTGCAGGTAAAGAGTTGTTCATTGCATTCATTATCTTTCAATGTCCATGGGATCTGTAGCAATGGACTTGCTTGTACCTCTGATACTGGTAAGTTTTGTCTTCTCTTTTATTTTTTGTCTGGCTAGAAGTTTCTCAATGTTACAGATCTTTACAAAGAACAACTTTTAGATTTGTTGATTTTTTCTATTTTTTTTTAAATTTTTAATTTCATTGATTTCTGCTCTAAACTTTTTTTCCTTTTGCTTACTTTGGATTTAATTTGCTCTTGATAATAAAGTGGACATATTGATTTAGATCTTTCTTCTTTTCTAATATATGCATTCAATGCTATAAATTCTCTCTAAGCAACTGCTTACAATGCATTCCCACAAGTTTTGATAAGTTTTATTTTGATTTAGTTCAGTACTGTTTTATAATTTCTCGAGACTCCTTCTTCGACACATGAGTTTAGAAGCGCATTGTTTTACCTTTATTAAAAGGTGGGATTTTCCACCTATCTGTTACTGATTTCTGGTTTAATTTCATGGTGGTCTGACACAATAGTTGGTATGATTTCTGTTCCTTTACATTTGACAAGATGTAATTTATGGCCAAGTGTGCTTTTAAAATTTTTCTTCAGACTCTGAGGCTATTTGTAAAAGGTCTGTAATTTACTTCATTCATGGCATGTGCACATCAATAACAGGTGGCAATGCATACATACAGACCATACAAAATAATACTCCAGCTATGCTCCTACTCTATGACAATGGTTAAATGCAAGCTGAGGCAGTTTCCAGTTCTCAGGAAAGGTAGAACAAAGTTCTTTTGCTACTTTAGATGCCCTAAAACAATGTTATATCTTTCATAAAAACAGGAGGAAGGAAAGATCAAAAGGAGGGAGAAGTGGTGACAAGGGGAGGAAGGAAGGAAGATTTGTTCCTCTATAGCAAGCCCTACCAACCTGTGTATACAAATAAAACTGTGTAATTGAATTAGTGAACAAAGGCTGAGAATGTTAGGAAAAGCCAATGAGTCTTCAACACCTATGTCCCCCAGCTGGCACATGCTCACCGCAGCCCTCCTCCGACCTCTCTACACTGGAGTGAGTATTCAAGTCACATCCACAAAATACAACATGAGCCAAAGAAACAGCTATAGCACAAATGGTACTAACTTAATTATCCTAAGAGCTTTCTAAATTATACAGACAAAGGTCATTAGTTTGTGAGCAGAATCAAAAAGCTGGTAACAGTCAAATAGCAAGAAACAACTAATTCCAACATTTGTATGATTCTGGAATAGGTATGAGTGTAACCTCACTCAGTGATATATAATTCATTTGGCTTATACAGAAGGTAAACATATTTCATAAGGGGTATCTGCACTGAATGTGACTATATTACATACCTGAGCATAACAAGCTTCTTCTATGGCTAATCCTGTTACTAAATCGACCTGAGGACAAAAACATAATTCATTTCAGCAGGAATTACTTTTTAGAATATGGTATACTCAATGTAAATTCAAATTTAATAACCTTATTCCAAAAGAACAGAAGCTGTCCATGTAATGTGGCAAATCACAAGTAAGACTAGCTGGAGAGACTTTGGAAACAGGCTGCCTGAGTTCAAATTCCAACTCTGCCATGTGGGAGCTGTGTAACCTTGGGTAAGATATTTGACCTCGCTGTGCCTGGGAGAGGCACAACTAAACAAGTGGCTAATTGTAGTACCTACCAATTGAGGGTATTGTGAGGATTAAATGAGCTACAGGTAATCCAGGTGAAGACTTTACATAGTACCTAAGATATACAGGCAGGCCTCAGAGATATTGCAGGGTCAGTTCCAGACCACAGCAATACAGCAAGTATCACAATAAAGTCACACACATTTTTTTGGTTTCCCAGTGCATACAAAAGTTATGTTTATATTATACTGTAGTCTATTAAGCATGCAATAGCATTATGTCTAAAACAACAATGCACATTTCTTAATTAAAAAAGTTTACTGCTAAAAAATGCTAACCATCATCTGAGCCTTCAGTGAGTCATCTTTTTGCTAGTGGAGGGTCTTGCCTTGATGTTGATGAAAACATAATTATCCGTGAAGGGCAAGAAAGTGAAATGCATTAAAATGAGGTGGCGGGGGGCGGGGGTGTGGTATGGTGTGTGTGTGTGTGTGTGTGTGTGTGTGTGTGTGTGAGAGAGAGAGAGAGAGAGAGAGAGAGAGAGAGAGAGAGAGAGAGACCTGGCACCCGGTAAGGGTCATATAAAGTGTTTGCTACTAAATGTTGTTACTACTATGTAAAAAATGTTAAAAACCAATCAAATACTTTGTAAATGTTTAAAACTACATTCATAGCTAACAAATTCAATCTCTTTTTACTGCTATGAAGCCCAGCAGGTTCTGGGTCTGCAAGGAATAAATATCTTTCTTCAAAATTACCATACTTTAACCAAAATATAACTACTGTAATTAAAAGTCCAATGTCAACGTCTGCCTGCATGCTTCCTTGCCCTGCCTGTGTCTCTCTGGCCCAGGGCCTCCACCCTTTCAGAGCCACCTTGCAGGATGACTCCAGGACACCCCACTGACTTGCCCTGTGGCATGTGCATCTCCCTGCAGAAAAAAACATGGGTAAGTTAAAAATGAAGAGAGCCAGGAAATCCTCCTTAGAATTCCTTTTTTTTTTTTTAAATAACACAATGCCATTACTAAAAATACACAGAAAGCCCCTTTCTTTAGGTTTTCTATGACTACTGGTCAATAAATCTATTAACTCAATGGCAAAATAACAAGCATGTCAACTAGGCTGTACAGCCATCAGTGAAATAACTGAATTCTGTGACTGATATGAATTAACAATAACTAGTCACAGAATGAAGTCAGTGATGTAGTTAAAAAGAACCACAGTAGCTTTCGGTAATAGTAGCATTGAAACAGCCATATTTTAGAACATTAAAAAAATATGTAGAACTCTAAACATGGTTCATTTAAATTAAATCTCCACTACCTACTCCAACAACAAACTCAACCATTAAGGAACTTACCTCCATCCCTTGATTAATGGCTAATTTTGCCACTCGCATTGCAACTGGTCCCTAAAATTCAAATTAAAGAAAAAGATTTTAATTATTATTCATACTATTTATGTTGTATATCTCAGCAAAATTCAGAAATTTCCATTGCTGGATCCATGGCCTAGAAGCAACAATGGCGGTAAGATGAAAATGACAGGAGTTTCTTTTAGGAGCCCACAAGGTCTTAATCAGCAAGTGTAGCAAGTGCAACTGCATCAGCATGTTCTGTAGACTCCATGGGACCTGTAGCTAGCAAACCGCATGCTTGGAGGTCAGCAGGTGATGTGTGCCCAGCACAGGGTTTACCATTCTTGAGCAAATCTCCTTAAAAGTTAAGAAGGGAAAAGTGAAGGAGACAAAGTATTTGGCAGGATACCACATCGGTCAGTAGTGTGACAGAAACCTGAAATATGACTGAAGTTCAGAAGTCAACATCATCAGACATCACCATCGGGGGTCCAACATCTGTGTTTCACACACTGGCTGTATCTTTCCTCCATGGGCACTGTTAACTAACCACATTGGTGACATACAGCAAAAAAGTGTCCTCCAGGCAGTGTTCCCACATTGTACAAACACTTAAAAGTTCAAGTAAGTCCTTCTGGGTGTGTGAGGGTCACAGAGGAAAGAACTGGGAGTCTTCCATGAAAAGGAAAACATTACTTTTGTCTTAGAAAACCACAATCCTTGAAATGGAATTTAGTTACTCATTTATATTATAAATTCTCAGAAACTGTTTATGTGTGATGAATTGGAATGGCATATTTTTAAATGTCTTTTAAATTAAAATGAGAATGGTTGTCCTGGCTGGGTGGCTCAGTTGGTGGGAGTGTCATCCCATTCACGAAAAGTTTGCAGGTTTGATCCCCAGTTAGGACACATACCTAGGTTGTGGGTTCAATCCCCAGTTGCAATGCATATGAGAAGCAACTGATCGATCATTCTTTCTCTCTTTCTCTCCGCCCATCCCCACTTCGTCTCTCTCTAAAATCAATAAACATATCTTTGGGTAAGGATTTGAAAAATAATGAAATTAAAATAAAATCAAATAATAAAATAAACACAGGCTCTAACTCACAAGCACAACAAAGAACTCCATGAAGAGCAAGGAGAATAAACGCATACAGCACAACTAAGTTTTTTATAAAAGAAGAGGCTTCCTAGCTAGGGCTTTTGATGATCAACATTAACCTAGCTAAAGTCTCTTCCTAAGTCACATGCTTAAAAATGTTTTTCAGAGGCCACAATTTTCCTAGGGTTTGATGAGTATCTTAGAATTCTTCCAGTTGTGATAGGCATGTGCGGTACACATACTAGTATTACTTTTTTAAAGATCAAGTCACTTTTTTTTTAAACACAGTGCTCCTCTCACAGAAAATCTTCTCCATCCCTTTTATTGCCAGCTGACCCCTGCTGGGTGCTAGTCGAACTTCCATATTACATGAATCCCCAAACCCCCGTCACAGTGTAGATGGGAAGTTGGGGGTCTGAAGTTGGGGGTCTGGAATGGCCCTGGAATGCTGCTTGTCTAATACACTCTCACAGGATGCCTTGACTGCTAGCCCGCAAAGCATACTTTGGCCACCAAGGTTTAGAATGTTAGAAAAACAGGAAAATGGAAATGCTGTTAGATATAGTGCTTATTTAATGAGTTCCTCTTTCAAAATATAAAACCAATGCCTCTTCTTCTGTATGAACATTTTTTTTCTAAGACAGAAAAATGGAAGTAACATATAATATAGAAATCACCTGGAAATATTAATTTTATATAAGCTAATTGTTTGAAAGAGTAATCATTCAGTAACAAAGGCTATAAAAATAACGATTATTTCACCTCAAATTGTGTTTTGTAACTTCTGCATACAGTTTCAGAGTTAAACATTTTCTCAGGTCATTCAACATCATCCCTGACCCAGGAAAGAACTTTAGCAATTCATGTTCTCAGAGGCAGGCCCTTCAGATGAGAGATGGGAGGATAACCCAGTTTGCTCCATGGTAGAGTACAGCTGGAGGTCATACTGGAGGTGGGGTGAGCCGAGTGCAGTGATACCATCAACTGCATTGAGGGTCACTTGAGAAAGAGCAAGTTCCCAGGGGTGAGAAAAGGAATCAGAACCTCAGGGATGGGCAAGGGGCTAATGAGCCTCCTGGGTAGAGCTCTGGAGTGAGGAGCTGACACTCATGTCCAAAGCCAGGAGAGGATGTATCAGAGCTGGAATTATGCCATAATCCTACTTAAACACACTCCTTTATTTCAACTGAGACATGTGTTGGTCATAAAGGTTTAAGACAAAGGAAGTCAGTAAAACAATATTTATTTTTATTTATTTTAATGTATTTATTGATTCATTTTAGGGAGAGGGAGGGAGAAGGGAAGGAGGGAGAGAGAGAGAGAAACATTGATTTGTTGTTGTACTTATTTATGCACTCATTGAATGATTCTTGTATGTTCCCTGACTGGGGATTGAACCAGCAACCTTGGCACATAGGGACAACATTCTACCCCATGAGCTACCCAGCCAAGACAACCAATATTTAAACTATTACTTCTCTTGACACTTTACCTTTAATTTCTCTTTAGGTAGATATTCCCCTAATTTTGGGGGAAGATGATTATCCAAGTTACAGGGAGACCCTTTTTTTCCTTAAAAGCAATAACAATCTTTTCTATTTGTTCTTTCTCCATTGATTCAGAATATGATGCTCTGTGTGACCTTACATGGGGAATGAGTTATGTAAGGGCCCTGCCCTGAAAGAGCTCAGAGCTCACACATTAATTGAGTAGGACTAAAGTAGTATCAGCACTAGGTAGTGTGGTTTTAGAAACCAACTCACCTGTGAAGTCCCTCTGAAAGCTCTCAGGGGACAGATGTGTCACAGCAGGCCTGCCCTTTGTCTGACAACAAAGAACCTTCTGAAACTGGATGCAAAGCTCCCAACAAATGTGGAGGAGTTTTGGAAAGGGATTTTAAGAGATGCCCCAAAGGATCCATGGCCCCCAAAGAGACTGCAAATCCTATATGCATTAAGTGACTGAGTTTGAGATGAAGTTATTTTGACTCCAGAAATGGTTAGGGGGTTATGAAATGTGAAAGTCCTCTAGAGATAAAGACAAATCAGTAACTGTTTACATAACAAAAATGCTCTAGTCCCTGATTTCAGAAGAAAGGAAAATTTTAAAAATATACCAGAAAGAGTGTGAGAACAAAGAAATCCTTAAAACAGGACCCTGTCATCTATAATATACAGTGAGTTCCAAATTTGAAAGTATAATTGTGTCTACAGCCCTGAATGCACCCGATCTCAACTGAAAGTGTAATTGTGAGGAACGATATTGTGAACAAGGCAATTAAAACAGTGCCTATATCACCATAAAAACAAATATAGTAAGACAAACACCTGCTGCTATTCAAGCAGGTTATCTCAAGTTAACCTATCACAATGAAAGCCCACTTTGGCGTGATCAGCTGTGTTCTCCTTACTTGTGTTTCAGTGTATTTCAGCTCGGGGGATCCATTGTGACAGCTCAGCCATCACTATTTCCCTTCATGTGTATGGCTCAGGTAGAGTGTTCAGGTGATGAACTTCAGATACTAAGAAGTTCTGGTACATGTGACAAACATGCGTGAAGCATTATCAAAATATGGCTATAGTATGGGTCTCAGATCATCTTCAAACCTGAATTTTAATTCTGAAGGCTTTTAATGTTAATCTAGTATCCTGTTTTGCAGCTACCATGTATTCCTTTACTTGGAAGCAAGCCAAGGGCACCATGGGTACATGAGATGATTCTTGTTTTTGTTAATCTGCTATAAAAGTTACCTAAAAAGAGAATAAAAGAAATGGAAATACCTGAGGCAAAAACTCTCTTGCCAAGTCCAAGGCCTTTCTGTAGGCAGCATCTCCCTCCTGGTTCTGTTCTAGAACATGGCTGATCAAGCCCACTGCTTTGGCTTCTTGGCCATCAAGCACACGTGCAGAGAAGATGAGCTCTTTGGCTAGGGACATCCCAATGGCGCGAGGCAGTCGCTGTGTTCCCCCTGCAGAGTAGACAAGAGAGAAAATGCAAGCAATGATTTGATACCTTTTACTTTTAACATTTCAATTATTTCATTTCTTTATTTATAGTATTAAACTAGAGCCATGAATTTATATTTCAGAATTAGTAACCGGAAAACGATTTCAAAACAGAATCTAATCTCTTGATTTTTTAAAATTAACATCAAGAAACAACTGAGAATCTTGTATTATTATGAAGTGATTCCATCACTGGGCTGTTACTTGCAACAGAGCTGGTGTGCTCTGGAATCCAATCCATAGTCATTACCATGTGAGCAATTGTAAGGTGCACAGCAATGGGCAGCCAAGACCATGCTTGAGCCCATTCACCATGGGAATGAAAGACAGGTCCCTCAAGCTTGGTGCTTTTCTTTCAGTTTATCTTACCGAAACTTAACAAATTCTGAGAAATTCAACTCATGTGCTTTTAAAGAATCATTTACAGTAAATGACATGTAAATTAATTTTAATTTAATAAAAATAAAAACATATAATTGCTCATGACAATAGGCTTTGTGCTGCTAGTTATTTTTCAGTGCAAGTCCTATTACCCTCTGACATTGAGGCTGGGATCTCATCCAACAGAAAGCTGGAAAAAAGCAGGTAATATTCTTAATGGCAAGCCTCACTGTGAAAACAGCTGCAATATTAAGATTTGTCTAAACCTTATCCTTGAAATGGCTGCTGGGCTGCCCAGACCACTGGTGGCAAGACGTAGGAGAGTGGCTGGTTACCAAGTTTCACTGTGTTTTGTTTGGTCCACAAAGTTTACACTTTTTTTTCTGTATTAGTTACTAACAACAATTAAAAACTGGGTGGGTGATACTGTACAGAAGCTGATTTCTCCCTGACAGTCAACCATGGTGCCCCTACAGGATGCACTGCCCTCTGTTTGCCCAGCCTCCACACTCTCATTCATAGCTCTGCTCCAACACTCTAGATGGACAGGTTTGCTGTCCTTACACAACTGTAAAAGGAAAGCAAAATTTTTTCTTATTTGCATCTCAATCAAAAGTGGAAAAAATGAACCATAAAGACCACAAGTTCCAAGAAAGCATACTTTCCTTCACTAAGTACAATATATTCCCACATGTTTAACAAAGCATGCCTGCAATGTAACAAGCAACTGTATTAAAAACCATGACCAATACTTACAAAATATGGGTGATTAAAAAAAATAAAGAAAATCTCAGTAAACTGGAAAAGGGCTGACATTTTCAACAGGGATTTTTTTTCTTAACATAAATAAAATTAGTACTGCTTCTGTAAAACCCAGTTAATCATTAAGTGTTTACACTGCCCAAGCAGTTAGAAACTGAGCTTATATGTGTTTTACTCAATATGGCAGGAAATGTGTCTGAAAAAAATGAAGCACTGGCAAATTTAAATCAAACTGTAAACAGTGCTGTTGTTCAGTGTAGTAAAGATAGATTGGAGAACTTAAGGGACAAGCTGCATGGCACACAGGTTATTTATGGTGCTTCCAAGGGCAGCTGATTAGAACAAAGTTATAAATAATATAATCCAGATAGCTGTATTTACTCATGAAGCTGATCAGAATTTTCATGAGACTGAAGAACTTATGGATATAGTGTTCATGATAAGCACATTAGGAAATTACTCTCTTTTGTGTTCTGTAAAAAGTTTAATGCAGATTGTTTAAAATCATACATGTAGACCCTCAGTGGTCATTGTTAATGTGGCACTTTTTACTCAGCTGAAACTCAATATTCTGCAAGTCCATAAGCTTAAGCCCATTCATCATATCCTGTTGCTTCTATTTTAATCCACCAGGAAGGAGGATTTTGTAAAAATTTAACAAAGGAAGATTCATGAAACTAACACTGTGACACAGACCCACTCCCTTGAGCTGAATGGCATACAATCCCATGCTTTTCTCAATGAACTAAATGCTGGAGGACATGTCAGGGTAAAAGGATCCCAGGAAAAATCCTCCCCTAGACTCACCAACTAACACTGCATCCAAGACTTGGCCTTTCCGGTTGACATCGTAAGCCATCTACTCTTAGGTTCTTCATATAAGTGGAATCACACAGCATTTGTACATCCATGACTGGTTAATTTCACTTAGCCCAATGTCTTTAAGGTTTATCCAGGTTGTAGCATGTATAAGGCTGAATATACCATTATTTGAATATACAACATTTTGTTTATTCAACCTTTGATGAACAGTTGGGTTGCTTCCACCTTTTGGCTATTAGGAACAATGCTGCAATGGATATGTGTGTACAATTCTTTGAGACTCTAGTTTCAATTCTTTTGGGTAGATAGCCAGAAGTAAAATTTCTGGATCATAAAGTAATTCTATGTTAAGTTTTTTTTGAGGAACACCATACTGATTTCTATAGCAGCTGCACCATTGTACATTCCCATCAATAGAACCTAAGTGTTCCAATTTCTCCATATTCTCACTAACACTTGTTATCTTCTGTTTTGTTTTGTTTTTTTAAGGTATCCACCCCAATGTGTGTGAGATTAGGTATACCACTGTGGTTTTAATTTGCATTTTCATAACAACTTGTGATGTTGTTATGTGTGTATTAGCCAGCTGCATCTTCTTTGGAGAAAAATCTACTTAAGTCCTTTGCCCATTTTGTAATTTTGTTGAGTTGTATAAGTTTTTTCTATATTCTGAAACGAATCCCTTATCAACTAAATAATCAGCAAATATTTTCTCCCATTTCATGGTTTGCTTTTAGACTCTGCTGAAATTGTCTGATGCACAAAGCTTTTAATTTTGATGAAATCCAATTTGTCTATTTTTTTCCTTTGCTTTTGGTGACATATCCAAGAAACCATTGCCAGATCTAATGTCACTTAGATTTTCCACTGTTTTCTTTGAAGAGTTTTGTAGTTTTCATTCTTATATTAAGGTCTTTGACCCATTTCAAGGTAATTTTTGTATATATGTAAGGCTAGGGTCCAACTTCATTCTCTACCAGGCAGAATATAGTTTTGCCAGTACCATTTGTTGAAAGGTGCTACCTTTTTTAAAAAGTCGTTTATATTATTACAGTTATTCCTGCTTGTCCTCCCTTTCCCCACTACCACCCAATCTCACCCTCTCCCCTCCCCAAGTCAATCCCCATATTGTTGTCCATCAATATATCAACAAACAACAAGTGTTGGCAAGGATGTGGAGAAAAGGGAACTAGTGCACTGTTGGTAGGAACGCAAACTGGTGTAGCCACTGTGGAAAACAGTATGGAGTTTCCTCAAGAAGTTAAAAATGTTAACACCCTTTTGACCCAGTGATTCCACTTCTGGGAATATATCCTAAGGATTCTGAAACACACATACAAAAGAATATAGATACTCCTATGTTCATAGCAGCGATATTGACAATAGTAAAAATCTGGAAATAGCCTTACTGCCATTCAGTAAATAAATGGATAAAAGAGCTGTGAGCCCTGGCTGGTGTGGCTCAGTGGATTGAGCACCAGTCTGCAAATCAGGGGGTCGCTGGTTCGATTCCTGGTCAGGGCGCACGCCTGGTTTGCGGGCCAGGTCCCTGGTAGGGGGGCGTGAGACAGCTACACACTGACATTTCCCTCTCTTTCTCCCTCCCTTTCCCTCTGTCTAAAAATAAATAAATAAATAAATAATCGATCAACCAATCAATCAATCTTGGGGGGAAAGCTGTGGTATATTTACAATGGAATACTATGTAGCAGTAAAAAAGAAGAAATGCTTACATTTTGTGACAGCATATATGGATCTGGATAATATCATGCTAAGTGAATTAAGCCAGTTAGGGAAAGACAAATACCACACAATATCACTTATATGTGGAAAGGGGCTATCTTAAATAATTACACAAATCTATTATTTAATTCACTCATTCTTACTAAAGATTCTCCTTTAGGAAATCTGTTTGGTAAGAAATTATCTGGACCACTTCCCTATGCTGCAATCAGTTTGCAGAAATCAAAGACTGATCGTCTCTTTACATTTGTAGAGCTGAAGATAACCACCTCCTACCACCTCCAGGAATATAAAATTTGTGATCTTAAATTTTATAAAAATTATATGGTCTGTTCAATTTGCCTGTCTTAATTAGTATTGATGGTATGAGCAAAGAGCGGTAGAAATGGAATAAGCTGCACTGCAATATAACAATAAACCAAAGATGTTATGAATAGTCACCCTAAATAGAACTCTCTTTATGTCAACATTCTACTCCAGTTTGGAAGTAACTGTGTTGATGAAGAGCTATTTTCCATTATGAAATTAAATGAAACACTACCAGGGCTCAGTGCAGCACCACATCACAACCTGAGAAAGAAGTGTCCCCAAAACCTGGTGTGGAAGAAAAAGGTTTGGATTTTAAGTCCAAATGGAAACAGGCACACTAGAGAGAATTTTTTTCAGTTCATGTTTTATTAATTCTATTTATTAAATTCTAATATTAGTTCAGAGTTGGGTATCATTCTCACTGGCATATGAGTTCAGGATCACTCAAGTGCCATCTCTAGATATAGTCCTAGGAACTGACAATGTTAAACAATGGAATTAAAAATCGTTCCACTATGACAACACCCCTACCACATGCAAGATTCTAGAGCTCTATGAGAGTCTATTTAAACTCTCACTACTATCCATCCCAGCAGCCTCCACCACGGAGCCCTGACTCCTGGCCAGGCCAGCTCTGAGGTTCCAAGACTTTTTGTAACTTACTCTAAGTCACTAAGTTAGGTTGCAGATATTGGGTTCAAACCTAACTCTGCCTGATTCTTAACTAGTATGTAATAAGCAAAGAGCAAATCATTAAATGAAAGCAAGGTTTCAATTTATTTGATAAAAAAGGTATATGTGGTGTATGTAAGTAGGTACGTAATAGAAGTAGGCATATACACATATCAAATACGACCAATTAAATGTCTCTGTATGAGTCAGCCTACTTATTATTTCCAAAACGTTCTGCACTGTGTAATATGACACTGGAATAGTAATAAAAGTG